GGTGATGTTGTGGGGTGGGCCCTGTTCCCAGGTGAGGTGGGGTGAGTGTGCCATGCATGTGAGGCGGTGATGTTGTGGGGTGGGCCCTGTTCCCAGGTGAGGTGGATTGAGTGTAGTGTGCCGTGTGGGGCGGTGTTGTTGTGGGGTGGGCCCTGTTCCCAGGTGAGGTGGGGTGAGTGTGCCATGCATGTGAGGCAGTGATGTTGTGGGGTGGGCCCTGTTCCCAGGTGAAGTGGATTGAGTGTAGTGTGCCGTGTGGGGCGGTGATGTTGTGGGGTGGGCCCTGTTCACAGGTGAGGTCGGATGACCAGGCCATGCTGTGTGGGGCGGTAGCATTCTTCGGTGGGTCCTGTTCCCAGGGGAGGAGTCCCTGCTCCTCCAGCGAGATGACAGGGGCATCGGCTATGAAGCTGGAGGGCAGCTGGGTCTGATTTGGGAAGTCAGGCTGAGGCATCATCTGCCATTTGTTGTTTTTTAAATCAGGCACAGAGGATGTTCCAGCAAGGTGACGGGCATGAGAGGGCGATACTCAGAGCAGAGCCTGTGGCGGTGGGGTGGCTGTGTCTCTACTCAGGGAGTCTGTGTGGGGCGGTGGAAGACACTGCATGGGGCAGAGTGGGGCCAGCACCGACTCCATGCGTGTTGTGGCCGTGAGCTGACCTTCCCTGCTGAGCTTGCTTGGGAAGGGCTGCCAACCTCAATGGGGGTCTGGAGGCCTGAATGGTAGTGGGAGACTGGCATGGGCTCTCCTGGGCCTGCCAGCTTTGGGGCTGTCCCCCAAACAGCCGAGGTCACTGGCTTGCTTACCAGGCTGCCGGACCTCATGGCTTGGGGCATGCTCATGGCTGTTAGCATCCAGCCTCCTCCTTGGCACTCATCGGCCCCCTTGGCAGCTCACTGGCAAGGCAGTGTCTTTTTTTTTTTCTTTTTGAGATGGAGTCTCACTTTGTTGCCCAGGCTGGAGTGCAGTGGTGTGATCTTGGTTCACTGCAACCTCCGCCTCTTGGGTTCAAGCAGTTCTCCTGGCCCAGCTTCCTCAATAGCTGGGATTACAGGCGCCCACCACCATGGGCTAATTTTTCTGTTTTTAGTAGAGACTGGGTTTCACCCTGTTTTCCAGGCTGGTCTAGACTCCTGACCTCAGGTGATCTGGCCGCCTTGGCCTTTCAAAGCGTTGGGATTACAGGTGTGAGCCCCTGCACCCAGCCGCAAGGCAGTGTCTTGTGGGACAGGAGCTAGAGCTTACAGGATGGAGTTAGCGCCTGTAATCGTGACCTGTGTGACCATAGGCCCTTGCTGTGCCTCCCTGTTCCCAGCTCCTCTGGTGTCCACATGGAGAGGAGCCCTGCTCTATGGGCTGAGAGAGGATGGCCTGCCGTCACACCTGCCCTTGCGGGCCGCAGGTGACTCCTGCCTGGGCTCACTTCCTCTGGAGTGAAATCTGGGTGGAGGTGGGAACGGGAGCCCTTCCTTCTTTTACCCTCTCAGGCCACGTGGACCTGTGTCGCGTGTGCTTAGGTGGAATTGTTGAAATGTTCAAAGCATTACTTTACCTTTTTCTCCCTGTGGCTCAGTTTCATTCTTTGTGATTGTTGCCCAAAAAACAAAACAAGTCAAATAAATGCACGGAGCAAACCTCCCCAGCCCCAGCGCAGGAGCGGCATTGGCTGCCTCGCCCCATCTCACTCTGCTGTTGCTTCAGAACCCGCAGTGACGTCTGCTGTTGCTTCAGAACCCGCAGTGACGCCTGTAGCCTCAGCAGTCAGAGCCTGCTGTCCTCACCCAACCCGGGCAGCTCCGGAGGGAGCAGATTTTGATTTAAGTTTCTCCCTCTTACTCGTCAGCAGAAAGATTTTGTTTCTTTTTCTGAAGAAAAAAGTCCGTATTTTGAAACACACTGTAGGTAATGTCTCTAAGTACCGCCTTCCTGAAATGAGGAAATGAGCTTTCAGAAAGAGGGAGAGGGAGAAATTTGCTTTTTGGGGTGTTGGCTTTCTTCGAGTTCCCAAGGATTGCTGGACTCCTGGATTTGGGCAGCTAACATTTGTGTCTGATGCAAAGGTAGCTTATTATCAGAACTTTGGAAACCTTGGAGCATTTTCCTGAGTGATGAGCTGGAAGGACGGCAGCACTCGCCTGCCTGCTTTCTCTGAAGGGAAAGTGGGTTAGTTCTTAGGATTTCTACCCATGGCTCACACAGGCCTCTGCCTGGACTGTGCATCCAAGCCGCTG